CCCACTAGAACATCAGAAGGATCTTTCCTCCTCCCAGCTTCAGATTCTTTCCCTTGGCTCAGTGTAGGAGACAGGCAAAGGCCAGAGGTCTTGAGAGGCTCTGGGGCGTAGGGGGGCAAGTGCTTCTGTAGGTCTTCTGTGAGCTCGCTGAGCGGCTGCCCATCAGCCACCTCCACGGGGTCCCCTTCTTTTCCAGTTCATGGAACGTTACCTGTATCTACTTGTTTGAAAACTCTGCCTCAGCTTCACGTCCACTTTTGGCATTGCCATTGAGGGCCCTGCAATCTGCCCCAGATCTGTAGTTAATATGTGGCAGAGCAAGCAGGACAGAAGATTTTGAGACACTCCAGGCCCAGAGGAATCAGCTGGTTGGTTTGTTCTTGGCAACTCCTGGGCTCCATGACAGGGCAGCAGTATGCAGGAATGTACTTTCTCCTCTGTGGGGAAGAGGTCTGTGTCCTGGGTATCCTTTCCTGCCCTGGAAGGAGTAGGTTGTCTGGTTCAGATAAGTCTGGTTGGAGAAAGCCATCTCTGTACTGTTTTCTCTGAAGTATCAAATAAATGGGGGCAAAGATAGAGTGGTAATTGAGAAATCACCCCCAGCATGGTTTGATGAACGGGTCATCTGGTCATCAGCTCTGAAGTCACACAGGGTCCACAGTCTGGCTCCACTACACATGAGGTGTGTGATCTTTAAGTCTCAATTTCTCTGTGACTTGGTTTCCACGTCAACCACTGCTGGATTATGCTCTGAGCCGCAAGAAACGTTTTAATATATCCTAGCCATTCTTCTTAGGGCTGGAGAAACAGAGTGGAGAATAGTTCCTTACCAGATATCCCTTTTGCAAATATTTTCCCCTAGTCTGTGGCTTGTCTTCTTAGTCTCTTACACATCTTGCCTATTGAGATCTCTCCAAGAGTTTTTTTTTGAAGTACAGTCAGTTACAATGTGTCAGTTTCTGGTGCACAGCACAATGTCCCAGTCATGCATATGCATACATATATTTGTTTCATATTCTTTTTCATTAAAGGTTATTACAAGATATTGAATATAGTTCCCTGTGCCATACAGAAAATATTTGGGGTTTTTATCTATTTTTATATATATAGTGGCTAACATTTGCAAATCCCTAGAGGCTTTATAATTTTAGCTTTTGCAAGTAGTTCTTCGATTCATCTGGAATTGATTTTGGGGTAGAGTATGAGGGAAGGATTGAGATTCATTTGCTTCCCTCACAGATAGCTAGTTGTTCCAGCACAATCTGTTGAAAAGTCTTTTCTTCCCCCATTGAATTACTTTGGAACTTTTGTTGGAAATCAGTTGGCCATATATATATTTCTGAGTACAGTTCTGTTTTCATTGATCTGCATATCTATTCTCAGGCCATTACCACATTGTGTTGATTATTGTGGCTTTATAGTAAGTCTTGAAATCAAGTAGGATAAGTCCTTGAACTTTACTCTTCTTTTTCAAGATTGATTTAAATATTCAAGGTTGTTTACATTTCCATATAAATTTTAGACTTAATTTGTGCGACAAAAAATCCTGCTGTAACTTTGATTGAGATTATGTTGAATCTATACATGAGTTTGGAAAGAATTAATAACCTCAACAGTACTGAGTTCTCCAATCTATGAACATGGTATATAGCTCTACCTTTTTTTAGGTTTTTTTTTTTTTTTTTTGGTTTCTTTTATCACTATTTTGTCGGGGAGGGTATAGCTCAGTGGTAGAGTGCATGCTTAGCACAAGGTCCTGGGTTCAATCCCCAGTACTTCCATTAAAAAAAAAAAAGAAACAAATGAATAAATAAACCTAATTACCTCCCCCCACCCCAAAAAATAACAAAGACTTCTTTTATCACTGTTTTGTAACTTTTAGTATAGAAGTCTTACATATCTTTTGATACATTCATTTATAAGGATTTTATGGGCTTTATAGCTATTATAAATGGCTCTTGTTTACTTAATTTTTTAATTGTGCTAATACGCAGTGAACATTTATTTAATATTGACCTTGTGTTTTGAGTTTAATAGTTTCTGTTGTAGATTTCTTATGTTTTTCCCACACATAATCATATCATCTGTGAAAAAAGTTTTACTTCTTTTCCAAGAGGTATGCCTTTATTAATTTTTCTTTTCTTAGTGCAATAGCTAAAGTAATTTAATGTTGAATAGAAATGGTGAAAGTGTTACCAAACCAAAGTTAGGTCCGCTCGCCAATCTACTAACACCGGGTGGTGGTGAAGGAAAGTGCAGTGTTTGTTGCAGGGCACCACGCAATGAGTCCAGGTGCTCAGAACAGCTGAACTCCCAGATGGGTTTCAGGAAAGCATTTTTAAAGGCCAGGTGAGGGAGTGGAATCCCATGGTATGTGATTAGCTCGAGCCCAATTCTCTGATTGGTTGGTCGATGGTTGGGTAACAAGGTGGTGTCACAGGGGTTAATATTTTCAATCCTAAGCACTAGTAGATATGGGGCTATGTGCTTACGGTTGTCAAGTAGTTGATTTCTTCCATTTGGTGGTGGCTTGAGCATCTGTAAAACAATTCAGGAAATGTGCATCAGATACTGTTATCTGGGCGCTTCAGAGAGAAGCTAAAGCAGAGGATATGAGGGAGGGGTCTGTCCCTGGAAGGCCCCATAGGGTCCTGCTCAGTTACAAAGCGGGGTATCTTGGCTTTGTTCTTTTTTTTTTCTGAATATTTTTCTAGCTTTATTTCAGTATTGGCTTTGTTCTTAACTACTTCCCAGAGACTTTATAGTTTTTGTTATCATTGATGAATGGTACTGTATTTTTAAATATTTTCCAGCTGGTTATTGATTTTTGTAGGTTGAGCTTAATTTTTCTAAGTGAATAAACATAGTCACTGCAAATAGTGCTAGATTTATCCCTCTCGGCCCTTACATCTCTTAATTCTTTTTCTTCTCTTATAGTTTTGGCCAATTCCTCCCATATATATCTAAAAGCAGCTCTTGTCAAATAGGAAGAACTTGAAACTGCTTTTGTCCCCATTTCAAAAATGAGGAAACTGTGGCCCAGAGAAGTCAAGTTATTTGTCCAAGAGTTCATAAAAAACTGCTGTTTAAAAAATATAAGCTTAGCTTTTTAAATAATTAACTTAATTTCCTCAAAGCAAATCTAGGAAATAGAGCAAAAGAAAGAAAATACCTGTATAGGCCCATCCAGAGATAAGTGCCATTAATGTCGGGGGTTCTAGCTTTCTAGACTTTGAAAAATGCATACACAGTTGGCCCTTGGAATGCAGGGGTTAGGGGTGCTGACCTCCATGCAGTCAAAAATCCACATATAACTTCACAGTTAGCCCTCCAGTACCCACGGTTCCACATCCGAGGATACAAGCAACCACGACTGTGTAGTACTGTAGTATGAATTTAGCAAAAGAACTCTGCATCTAAGTGGACCTGCGCAGCTCAAACCTGTGTTATTTAAGGGAGAACTGTATGTTTCAATAATAGACAAAATTACAGTGTAATGCTCTTTTATCATGTGCTTTTTTCACCAAGTGACTATCATAAATATATTTTCAAATTGATTAATGCACTTAGGTTTGCATACTGTTCCACCTATGGCTGTACCGTAGTTAAGCATTCCACAATTGTCAGATGGCTACTTTGGTTCCAATTTTTCATTATTGTGAACAATACTACTAAGAATTTCATAGTGACTATGAAAGATGACTGTTTCCTTGTACAAACTCTTGAAAGTGGAATTGCTAGGTCAAAGGGCACACAGAATGTCCAGGCCTTTGACATCTGTTGCTAAGATCAAACTTTGAACAGAAATACAGTAGATAATGAATAATTCCTTGTTGACTTTTTCTCCCATCTCCTCATGTAGGACCTATTAATCTTCTCACTGTCTCAACCCATCCTCTACCCTTTTCTAATTGGAAAATTCCAAGCCTAATCTTTCTGCAACCCCATTTCAGTCATTAGACAACATTCGACCACTGTGTGTTGGATACCTATTAAAACTCCAAGTCCTGGAGGTACACTGATGAACAAAACAGAGCCTTCTGCTCACAGCGCTTGCATTCTAGTGGGGAGACGCAGGTCATAAATATACAACAAATAAGTGAATTACATGGTGTGTTGAAAGATGACAAGTAATATGGGGGAAAGAAAACTAGAGTGTGGTTATGGGGATCAGGAGTAGTGGGCGAGAGATGGGGAGACAGTTGGCAGTTTTACAAAAGAGGGTCAGAGTAGGTCTCACGGAGCAAGAGACACTTAAGCAGACCTGACGGAGGTGAAGGATGGAGGGGGGAAGAACAGTCCAGGCAGAGGGATCAACAAAGGCCCTAAAGCAGGAACTTCCCTGGTATATCAAAGAAGAGAAAGGAGGTCAGTGTGGCTGGAGCAGAGTGAGTACTGGAGAAACACAGGGAGATGAGGTCTCGGGTGATGGGGGGATGATGCTAGCCATGGAGGTGGTAAGAAATGGTCAGAGCCTGAGTACATCTGAAGGAAAGCCAGTGTATTCTGTGCCTTGAGGTGGGTGTCTTCCGCCTGCCCCTTTGGATTCAGTCTCTGGCTCTCCCCACCCTGCTCTGTGCCCCAAGAGGCTGAGCTGTATGACCTCCATCAAGAGTCTTCTTTACCCAGTTTCCTGTTGGGTTGCACCAAAAGAAGTCTGGTCAAAAGGAATCCTGGCAAGGGATCTGAGGGAAGGAGGAGTGTGAGAGTGGGGTATATTTCCTCGACCTCCTTCTTGCAGGTTTGGCTGAGCCCTCCACCAAGGGCACAGCTCTCATCAGGCAGCCCACTCAGCACTAGCTGCCCCTCTCGGGTGGGTAGTGGCTCCTCCCTCCACCCATCAGACCTGGGTGGTGACAGATCCCTGCCCTTGCCAGCCCCAGAGTCCTACACTGTTAATTGGTTGCTTTTTCTAAGCTCTGCTCATAAATTTGTGGATAGTCCTTTTATTAAACTCTCCTCCCATCACCCAGTTTGAATGTGCCACTTGTTTCCTGCAGGCACCTGGACTGATAGGTTAGATGCTGTCCTGAATGAAAAGTGGAGTTGAGGATGGCTCCTTTGGCTGCAAGACCTTCAAGGTTCACCGGGTCCTCCCCTTCTATACAACTCTGTGCCCCAAACCTGGCCAAGGTGACATTGAGGGCTTTGAATGAGGCCCTTGGAAGTAACCAAACAGCCTAGAGCTTCAAAACAGTGGAAGGTAAGAGTAAACATGGTTGTACTCCCCCACCCCAGATCTTCCAGACAAGGCCTGGTATAGAAGGAGTCCTGGTCTCTGTGGAATAACTCCCTGAGCACCCATTAGCAAATCACTTGACCACTCAGGGCCTCAGTTTCCTCATCTATAAAACTGGTGATAATAAAACCTAACTCAAAGAATTGTGGGGGAAGTCCAAACAACGGTGCTGGTGTCAGCAACACATGAGCTGTTGTGTGAGCTTGGGAGCCTCAAGTCTGTGACTTGTATTCCAACCGTGTGGTTTGCAAGCTGCATGATGTTGTGGAAGTTTCTGAATCTCCCGTGCCTTATCTGTGAAATGAAAATGGTAATAGCATATCCTCCAATGCAGTGGTGTGGAATTTAAATGAAAAAAAGGCGTGCTTGGCAAGTAAGTATTCAGTAAATGTTATGTAATTAACAAATACTAAAGGATTTCCTTCTCCCCCTCTGAGAAATAAGGGAATTGAACTCAACATATAACTTTCTTTGACATGCTAAGTCTAGGGTTTTTTGAAATTTTTATTACATAGCTTTTCAAAATTATACAAAAATGTATGCATGATAGGACAAGCATCCATGTACATACTACCAGGCTAAAAGAGAAATTTTTCCAAGGTAGCTTATATATTTGCATATAATGATTTGCAGTGTTTTTAAGTTTTGCATAATTGGTATCATATTATGGATTCATCTGCAACTTGTTTTGTTTTCCCTCAATAATATGTTTGTGAGGTTCCTCTGATCACATTGTATGAATTTGCCACAATTTATTCATCCATCTCTTATTATCGATATGTACATTGTTTTCAACTTTGGGGATTGCACACAATGCTGCTCTGAATGTCCTGAAAACTGTCTCCTGTATCCACATACAAGTTTCCGAGTCTGAACGTGTGAGTTTCTTTTCAGCCCAGCCAGATGCTGGTGTGAGCTCCAGTCCACATGGGGAAAGGGGAGTGGAAGAGTTGAATCTTAATTTTGACAGGTTCTGAAGGCTTTGTAAGTAACAGCTCTTAGAACCCAGTATTTTGAAGATTTAAGTGTAAATGAATCAGAACCATATGGATTACATTTGCCTTTAATGACAGGATTTAGAGGGTGGAGGCTGTGCTCCGGGGCGAAGGTGCAGGCAGTCTATGGGCTGTCTCCTTGGCTTCCCCGCCCTCTGGTTGTGTGCAGAGGAGTGCAAACTCTAGCTGCCTGGGCACCCTTCCCACAGCCCAGGAATCAAGTGGCCATGTGGTCTCAGGTTGCCTGAAGGGGGCACTGTGGAGCCTCAAATCCTGGGCCTCAGGATGCTTAGTCCTAATTCCTCCTCTGCCATTGCTTTGTTGTGTGGCGTTGAGCCAGATGCCCTGCTTCTCTGGGCCTTAGTTTCCTTGTTTGTAAATGAGATGCCTGAGGGGTAGGACTGCATAGTAATTAAGAGCCTGGGATGGAAACTATCTTCTAACCTCTTTTGGCTGTGACTCCTTGGACAAATTACTACTCAGCTCCTTTGTGCCTCAGTTTCCTCATCTGTAAAATGGAGATAATTGTACCCACCTCAGGTGGTTGTGAACAATAGATGAGCAAAGCTAGAAGGTAGCTGGCTCTTAGCAAGCACTCACCTGGAACCGCTTTTGTTTTATCTTTATGGTCCTTATCAAAAATCGATCCAAATCTGATTTTCCCTGGCACTCACAGGCAGAGAGGATGGAAGTGAGCCTGAAAAATGAGAAGGGGTTACCCGGTGGCCAGACATTTCCTGTTCTGGTAGCAACCACATCTCCACTTTGTGTTTATCGATTCCATGCCATGTTAAATGTGAATATGTACACATATGCTTACAAAATGGATTATGCTGAGTTATAATCTGCTTTTTTCACTTTCCCTGTGCCATACATATATTTCCATGTCATTAATGTTCATCTCCAACATTGGTCTATATCTGAACAGGCGCACAGCAAACCACCATTTACCAAGAGCTTACTGTGCGCCAGGCGCAGTGTTAATCATTTTCCATGTGTGTCCTCATTTGATCCTCAGGACAAGAAAATGAATTGGGTATTCTTATCACCCCCATTTCACAGCTGAAGAAAGTGAGGCTTGGAGAGGCTAAATAACTTGCTTAAAATCTCTCTCAAGTCCAGACCTGCCGACTCCGGCATGTAACTGCTGACCCACTCCCAGGCACTGCCTCCGGGAATGAAATACATCACAAAGTGACCTCAGGCCCCTATTCTTGGACACTTGGATTTTTTTTTCTGGCTTCTCACTCTTATCAACAGCATGTGATGAACATTCTTGTAGGAAGATCTTTGCCTACATCGGGATCGCTTCTTGGGGATAAATTCCTTGAAATGGATAGCCCAGTGTTTGGGGCTTTGTTTTGGAGATGAGGAGAAACAGAGGACCCCAGCTAGACGAGAGGGAGAGGCAGGAAGCCCTGAAGGAGGTGGGCCCAACGGGAAAGCCAGGATGCCTGACTAATCCGCAGTGCGCGCTGCCCCGGTTTATCTGAGGGCTGGTTGCCCAAGCTCCCCAGGCTTACACTGAAGCCCTTAGGAATCTAGTTTTTTTCCATCCTGGTTTTGCTGACTTGGCTGAAGTTCCTGCTCAGTGGATCAGCTACAAGACACAGTCACACACACACCACACACACACCATACACACACACATAAAGACACACACACACAGCCCTCCAGGAATCAGGCATGAGGGAGACACTTGCTAGAAAGAGGCTAACCTATGGAAAGTGGGGAACCCTACCTTACACAGAAGGAAAATTTCCTGGGAAAACTGTTGACCAGGTTTCCATAAATCATTTCTTCTCTGAACTGGGTTGGGTTCATTTAACATTTTTGTAACAGCTTTATTGTTTTGAGGAAAAAATGATATGTTCATTGTTTTTAAATTCCTGAGAAATCTATAAATATATCTGAAGATGTAAAAGCATCTACAACTCTTTGTTTCAGACTGGTGGTATATATCAGTGCTTTTCAAGTGCTGGATATCTTGTTAAAATGAAGATTCTGATTCAGGAGCTCTGAGTAGGGCCTGAGAGTCTGCATTTCTAACCTGCCTTCTCTTGTGGAATTGTAACTCCAAAATGTTCTTATATCAGAGCAAGGGATCTTAAAATCATTTCATCAGAGCCTCTGCTGACAGGTGGGGAAATTGATGCCTAGCACAGGGACGGGGCAAGCCCAAGGCTGGGAGCTCGAGCTGGGTGGAGCATGGCTGGGAGCTCCAGGATTCTTTTGTTTCCTCTGAACCTGCAGCCTAGTCAGTTTCACCTGAGGGACCAGCAAAGGCTCTGAGAATGGCGGAGGGGAATGAGCCCTCTGTAAGGAGCAAGGCCACCAGGCAGAGTGCAGACACCACACCAAGCACCGTCTGGATGCTGCAGGCTTACACTCTCAGAAAATCCTCACTATAGCCCTGTGCAGAACATCGTCAACTCCATTTTACCTGGAGAAACCGAGGCTCAGAGAGCCAAGCGATCTGCCCAAAGTCACACAGGCAGGTGAGTGCGGAGCTGGCATGGGTCCTGTGTGTGAGATCCCCAAGCCTTGCCTCCCAAAGTCCTCCTTCGGCTCCTGACTTCTCCTCCACCTTACTGTGCTTCATGGTTCACTTTCCATCCAGGGGAAAACCAGTATTGTTTGAAAAAGACTGTAGGAAGTTAATACAAGGAAAACAAAATACTGTTATTGAAATCTAGCTACATTTTAGCACCTTGCAGAGCCCCAATCCTGCTCTCTCTGTTAAAAGGGTAGATTAGCAAACATTGGAGCCCTGTTAGAGACAGACTAGACAACACTGCGGCTTTGCTCTTGGTGAAATCTGAAGGACTGAAAGAGAACAGAAGAGAGAGTAATTTTGCAGGACGTGATCCCACCTCTTGCAGTGCCCTGTACGGCTTCCATCTTTCTTCCATCTCTCTGACCAGCCATCTCACACTGCACGATACTACCTTTCGGCCCCAAGCCAGGTGGCATCAGTCAGGATTGGCTTCCTGGAAGAGGCACCTGGAACAGGTTTCACATCTTGGGAGACCTAAGCCTGTGGAATCTCTGCATCAAGTTCTTTGCGTCCCAGGAGGTGCAGTCCTCTTTCCTCCTGGGGGCCTGGGGGTCACTCAGCAGGCTGCCTGGAGCCAGGGCACGCTCCCTCCCAAAAAGATGACACACCAGCCTGTTTGCCTAATGTGACCACTTTGGCAAAATTGTTTGTTCTCATCCTGCTAAAAACAGCTTCAAAGTGACTCCCGTCTAGACTGTGCCAGGATTGATTATCAGATCCCTGACCTGATCGAAACCACAGGGTGACATAGTCATTTGCTTTAATGCAATTAAAGCAAAATACAATAATGTATCCAGGCCACGGACAAGAACAAGGCTCGCTGGAAGGTGGGAGGAGAAACCAGCTCTGGATAATTTCTACTCGGCTCCAAAGAAGTCAGTTTAGACTTTTCTTGCCTCTGTCTCCAAGGCAACCTTGGGCTCTGGACTGTCCCTTGCTCTGCCAAGGGCCACCAGGTGAGGGTGGCCTGGGAGGCTGAGGAATCAGGAGGAAGCCGACTTGGGGTGGGATGTGGGTGGGGGCGGGGTGAGCACAGTCCAGGAGGAGGAGAGCCAGCGATGAAGGAAGGAGGGAAGAGAAGAAAGATCACAGAGAGAGGAGGAAATGGATGCAGCCGGCTCCATAATTCCCAGATTCTCTGACAAATCCCCAGTCCCAGGGAGACCAGAGCATGCCCGGCAGGTCTTCCCAGAGGACAGCGGCGGGTGAGGTTATTCCAGTTGCCGCCAGAAGGCACCAGGAAGATGGGTGTTCTCCTCTCAGAGAGCCACATGAAGGAGGAAGATGGATACAAAGGCCTCGGCCTGGCGGTCAGACCTGCCAGGCCTGCCTCCCAGCTTCTGCCCAACATCCCAGGGTTCTGGAGAGGAGCCAGCCTCCCGGACAGGCAGGGAAGCCCTCAGAGCCTTCCT